TGGTGCATGCATGCATGATAAGTGTCAATCTTGCAGTGAATGCGCAGGCTAGGTGGCAACCTTGAAGAAGGCATGTCTGCATGCATGTAACACGATTGGACATTAAGGGAGACGCCATTGGACTTAGAGGAAGAGTACAAAAATGAAAGGTGTCGCCATCCCCATTAGCGAATAATAGGTGGCACGGGTTGTAGAGTAGGATCAGGCTAGGTGACAGCCTTGGAGAAGCCATGCCTGCATGCATGTAACACTGTTGGAGGTGATGGGAGGAGACTTACATGTTACAGTGTAGGTGCAGAGTAGGCGCAGGCTAGGTGGCATCCTTGAAGAAGGCATGTCTGCATACATGTAACACGATTGGACATTAAGGGAGGCGCCATTGGACTTGGCGAAAGAGTACAAAAATGAAAGGTGTCGCCATCCCCATTGGCGAATAAGAGGTGGCACGGGTTGCAGAGTAGGTGCAGGCTTGGTGACAGCCTTGTAGAAGCCATGCTGGAATGCATGTAACATTATTGGAGGTGATGGGAGGAGACTTACATGTTACAGTGTAGGTGCAGAGTAGGCGCGGGCTAGGTGACAACCTTGGAGAAGCCATGCCTGAATGCATGTAACACTATTGGAAGTGATGGGAGGAGACTTACATGTTACAGTGTAGGTGTAGAGTAGGCGCAGGCTAGGTGACAGCCTTGGAGAAGCCATGCCTGAATGCATGTAACACTATTGGAGGTGATGGGAGGAGACTTACATGTTACAGTGTAGGTGCCGAGTAGGCGCGGGCTAGGTGGCAGCCTTGAAGAAGGCATGTCTGCATGCATGTAACACAATTGGACATTAAGGAAGGCGTCATTGGACTTGGCGAAAGAGTACAAAAATGAAAGGTATCGCCATCCCCATTGGCGAATAAGAGGTGGCACGGGTTGTAGAGTAGGCGCAGGCTAGGTGACAGCCTTGTAGAAGCCATGCCTGAATGCATGTAACACTATTAGAGGTGATGGGAGGAGACTTACATGTTACAGTGTAGGTGCAGAGTAGGCGCAGGCTAGGTGACAGCCTTGGAGAAGCCATGCCTGAATGCATGTAATAATATTGGAGGTGATGGGAGGAGACTTACATGTTACAGTGTAGGTGCAGAGTAGGCGCAAGCTAGGTAGCAGCCTTGAAGAAGGCATGTCTGCATGCATGTAACACGATTGGACATTAAGGGAGACGCCATTGGACTTGGCGAAAGAGTACAAAAATGAAAGGTTTCGCCATCCCCATTGGCGAATAAGAGGTGGCACGGGTTGTAGAGTAGGCACAGGCTAGGTGACAACCTTGGAGAAGCCATGCATGCATGCATGTAACACTATTGGAGGTGATGGGAGGAGACTTACATGTTATAGTGTAGGTGCAGAGTAGGCGCAGGCTAGGTGACAGCCTTGGAGAAGCCATTCCTGCATGCATGTAACACTATTGGAGGTGATGGGAGGAGACTTACATGTTACAGTGTAGGTGCAGAGTAGGCACAGGCTAGGTGGCAGCCTTGGAGGTTACAACCTTACTTAATTCAAATTCAGTATGACCTATTTAGTCTTACATTTATCAAAACACTGATTCACTTAATCTGTCAAACCTTCCAACCTTCAAACCTTCATACAATCAAACCTTCAAACCTTCAAACAATCAAACATACAAACCTTCGAATAACTCATAAACTTCAAACATTCCAACCTCCAAACCTTCAAACCTTCAAACAACCATACGCAATGGCCTTTGCACCCCAATATGTCATTAATGCACATTTTAACGGTGAGACATACATTTGTCCCACCTCTGGGTTTTTCTTTAGAGACACAGACAACATCTGATTTCTTTTAAACGGGAAAGCCAATTTCTCGTACTTTAAAAAACGATTGGAGGCCAAACTTGGACGAGGCCCGGTGACACAAATATTTTATCAGAATCCAGTTTTTTTGGTAACAACCAAATAATATTTTATAAGGTTGAGGTTCAAGATGACGAGGATCTTCATAATATGTTTTCTAGTCATGTGTATTCTGGGTACGACTCTATTGAGTTATACATTATGTTGCGAGAACCTCAGGTGACACAAGTGGTTAATCCTTTGGAGACCGAACAAGCAGAGGTAGATGCAGTTGATGAAGAAGAAGAAGATGACGAGTTAGAGTTTGATGAAATGGTGAATTATGATTCCGAAGACGATGGAATACCTGGTATTCCTGCAAACGAGATCTACACACCACCTCCGCACATGACAAACTTCAACATGGGCGGAGATGAACCGTCTTCTGATTTATTTTTCAATCCGTATATGCAGTCGGATGAAAACTTAAAAGAGAAGGACAAGTTTCATAACAGAGAGGAATGCATCAGAGCCATAAAAAAATTCCACATGCTCAACTCGATCGATTTTAAGGTGGACCATGTCAACCCAGAAAGGTACAAGATCAAGTGTGTCCACCCTGATTGTATGTTCAAGCTCACTGCATCATACAAATTAAGAGGTGATTGCTGGGTCATAGGTTCCATGTCTACCCACACTTGTGTCAGTTCTACCCAATCACAGGACCATCGAAAACTTAATTACGATCTCATTTGTCAAGAAATCCTACCACTTGTCAGCAACGACCCATCTTTAAAGGTGAAAACCATCATCTCCCACATCACCACGATTTTTAACTATACTCCGTCTTACCGTAAGGCATGGTTAGAAAAGACCGAGGCGATTGAAAAGGTGTACGGAAACTGGGAGGAGTCATACCAAGAACTTCCTCGCTACCTGAATGCACTCAAGACTTATTCTCCGGGTACTGTTTACGTTCTGGAAACAGTGCCAGCATATGCCCAAGATGGTAGTCAACTAAACGGAAACGGAATATTCAGTCGAGTGTTTTGGGCATTTCAACCTTGCATCACAGGGTTTGCATCATGCAAACCAATTATACAAATTGATGGGACTTGGTTGTATGGGAAATACAAAGGTACGCTACTGATGGCAGTTGCACAAGATGGCAACAACAACATTTTCCCAATTGCCTTTGCCCTAGTCGAGGGGAAGACCGGTGGTGCTTGGAGCTTTTTTCTGAAAAACCTGCGAACACATGTGGCTCCTCAACCAGATCTCTGTTTGATCTCGGACGGACATGCCTCCATTGAAAGTGCCTACAATAATCCTGTAAACGGTTGGCATGACCCTCCTTCTACGCATGTCTATTGCGTTAGGCATATCGTCCAAAATTTCACGAGGGTAAAACACTAAGGAAAGCGGTTATGAATGCGGGATATGCATTGACACAACCCACGTTCAAATATTACCGCAACGAGATCCATTTGTCAAATCCGGAAGCCGGTAGGTGGATCGACAATATTCCGGTGGAAAAATGGACTAGGTCATACGACAATGGCCAAAGATGAGGGCACATGACAACAAATCTTATTGAATCGATGAATGAGGTATTCAAAGGCATACGAAACCTCCTGATCACTACTTTGGTAAAATCTACGTATTTTAGGATGGCTTCGTTGTTTGCCAAAAGAGGTGAAATGTGGAATGCGGTGTTGCAATCTGGACAACTATGGAGTGAAAGCTGCATGAAATACATTAAGGCAGAAAATGCCAAAGCCAACACTCATATGGTTATACGGTTTGACCGACACAGTCACAACTTCATTGTGAAAGAGACAATCGACCACAACGAAGGCCTTCCAAGACAAGAATATAGGGTTATACTACCTTCTCGTTGGTGCGATTGTGGCAAGTTGCAAGCCTTTCGTATGCCTTGCTCTCATGTCATTTCCGCTTGTGCTTATACCCATCAAGACACGCTACAACTTCTGTCACACATTTACAAATCTGAAACATTGCTCAACGTTTACAACAACAACTTTCCTTTGGTAGCAAAACCAGATTATTGGCCTGCATACGACGACAAAATAGTGTGGCACAATGACCAAATGCGAAGGAACAAGAAGGGTCGTCCCAAAAGTAAGCGCATCATAACCGAAATGGACGAACTTGACAAGCTGGAAAGAAAGTGTGGTTTATGTCGTCAGGTCGGACACAATCGTAAAAATTGTCCGAATCGGGCGTCTGTCTCGACCACATAAAAATTGTAATACATAAAATCTTTCCTTTATTTTGTTGTAAACATTAGGGTTTTTCGTTAACAGTATTTGCTACAATAAATATTGCGCGTACAAGAAATAAAACACGATATTCCGTCTACGAAATTACAACTGTTAAAACAATTTCATCTAACCCATGCATCATCAACATTACGTCACTGTCTGTTTTGACTTCCTCCAACCACACATTAGGTCTTCCAATCGCATGTGAGGTTGTTGTTCGTCTTCGCTGGATCCTTCAAATCCCCCCCCCCTCCACAATGTCTCCATCTAGCCATCGCATCAACTCCCGCTTCAGACGCTCCATGGAGTGAATGTGCCAGAATTTCATTTTCATGGTTTCGTGGCGGAGAAGATAATGTAACCATCTCTGGTAAAAATCATGGGCGATGTCATGACGCAAATAACATAGTAAAAAATAAGAAAACAGTGCGAGAGAATGTGAGAAATGACGGAGAAACGGACGGATTATTTATAAAAACAGTATTTTGCCCTAAGAGCCAAGTGAGATGACGCCTCCTCTCACTTTTAAAGAGCATGATTTTTAGCCAAGTGAGATGGCGCCTAGGGCAAAAATGCTGGTGGAGGCGCCAAGTGAGATGACTCCTCCTTTAGAGAGTCATCTGAAATATGGTTATTTGCGTAATTTTTTCCGAAACGTGATTATTTGCGATTTTTTTTTAATATCTGGTTATTGCAAAAAAGAATTCACAAAGATGTTGTTAAGTTGGAAATCAACACAACTTTAATTCACCTCCTTTTAAAAAAAATATATAAACCACATCTTTCTCATTACTTTCGGATCTCTCTCTTCACAATCCCCCCATCATTCTATTTCTCATCTTTGGAACAAAAGGAAAGAAAAAAATAAGATGCAGGACATGGATGGCGGCAACGCAATGCTTCTGGCAGTGGTTTCCACCATCTTCGCCGGTGGATCCCCGTCGGAATAACTCAGAACCAAAAATATCTAGATCATCACGTTCAAATTCTTCTCCTTTACTCAAATATCAAAACAACTTTTAAAAAACATCAAGAAAATTCTCAAGATCTATAAAAGTACTTTTGAAAACCTAAATTCAAAGAACCAACAATCAACACAGAGTAGGAAAATTAGAGAGGGAATTCGATTTTAGAAGAAGGAAAACAACCTTCAGAAGGAAGAAGAGTGGGAAACGGAGGCGGTAAAGCTTCAGGCGCGGTGGTTTTTGAATTACGGCAGAGGCTGGAGATTTCCGGCGAGTTCAGGTGCCGTTTCCGGTGAGGTAAGTCCCGATGAGTTTCTACTTATGGCTTTTTGTTCTTTTACTCTCTATCTGTAGTCCGAAAAAAAATCTCCTTCAAAGTGTCAAATGTATTGCCTTATATAGAACTTAGATTTAGAGTTTGTATCAAGATTTATGTTGGATTGAGATTAGGTTCACATGACATGTTGATTTCTTGCTCAAAAACCCAAACGAAAAGGCTTTGCTTAGTCCACTAATTATTCCACAGTTTTGGGTTGAGATGATGAAATGTAAATTTTCCTTCAAAAGTCCAATCCGAAAATCATTCTTCTTAGTGCAATAACATGTTTTTCTTGTTTGACAAAGTGTTGTTAGTTGAAAAACTTTGGGCTTTGTGGTTGTGAATCTTTTTGTTCAAAAATAGAATAAATTGGAAAGGATTTTGTTGAATATTATGGAATGTTTTTTTGTTGGAAAATGGAATGAATATTTGTATTGTTAATATGGACATATACTAATTAACTTTCCATTTTCTCTTATTTTTTCATGTGTTGAGGAACATTGTTGGTGGACAAGTTCAGAGCTTGAAGATGTGAAGAAGTTGAGGCTAGCATGGAGAAGAAGGCTTGGCTTTCTACATAGAACTCTTGAAGCTTATCTTTAGGAACTTAGATATCGTAGCTTAATAATTCAATCTATTGTAATTCAAACCAAATTCAAATGAAATCCCTTGAACAATTCAAACATTTCTCTCAAATTATGTATTAGTAATGTAGAGGTACCTTGAGTATCTTTGGATGATTAAATTTGAATCACAAACATTCTTGACATATTCTTGTGAGTTGAAAATGATAAGAAATTTGTTCAAAAGAGTTGATGTAAGATCAAAGTTGAATGGATTGTAATGTATTTGTCTTAGGATTTAAATTCTCATGATGTACTTGAAACTTACGAAATAAGAAATTCAGAACTCCTTTTGTTGCATAAAAATGATGGGGATGTATCCTGGAAACTTAAATCAAAACAAGTCTTGAACAATCCTTATAGTGTAACTTATATGAAGATATGATTGGATTCTCGAGATACACTTTGAATGAACCTTTGAGTTTGAGATGAAAGTCCCTAATAGTTGCGTTTGAAAATTGAATTTGAACTCAATAAACAAACATGAACTTGCCTATTATACCAACTCCAAAACTCTTTTGTTTCCTAAATACCAATTCAAAAGTCTTAAGGACCAATCTTGTAGTGAAAATAGGTGTTGAACTTGTAATAAAAATTGCCTTGAACAAGTAAAGGATTCAACTTTGATTCAAAGAATTCATGAATCCTCAAACTAAAAATCTCATACCATACCTCACTACTTTCCAATTTAATTCTTGACCAATGAAACTCCACATAAAAAATCCATTGCCTCAGAGGAAAAACAACAACAAAAACTTATGGCGTAAATTGAAATTAGAGGTAAAAAATCACCTATAATGTTCCAATAGAATCCACGGTTTTCTAAGCACAATTTAACTTCGACTCTTAAAGCATATTTTTAGATGACATCCTGAAGAGTATCATGCAAAAGAACCAACGTGAAATTATGAAAATCTAAAGAGTTGTGATCCTCGGAAATTTGGAAAAAGATCAACTGGAATTAGGTCAAAGTCACAAAGCGACCTCTAATGTACTCAAACTTTTGATGGTCTTCTACACATAATTAGCTCTCGACTTGTATAAAGAATTTGGAAATGATGTCAAAAAAAATCATATGTAAAAAAGAACCACTAAAAAATATTGAATAATGAAGAAATTATAATTGTTTGAACTCAAACTTGCAAATGTTAACTTTTGGTCAAACCAACTTTGAACCAACTTGCAAACTTGATATTTTCTTGCATTTCAAACACCTTGATGCACATGTGAACTTGAGATGATAAAATATTGATTAAACCATGCTCACACTTGTCAGAACTTGATATTACTCGTCGAAGAAGGCATAGAAATAAACACATGAACCTATCTTGAAGAGTCTTGAGAATTAAGCAACCAAACTCGCATTAACCATGTTTAATGAAGCTTAAGGATAGTGTGACCAAAGATTATAGATCATAACTTTTAAAAATAGGAATTTGAGAATCAGTCTTTGGCCTGAAGCAACTCACAACCCTAATTGGGGAACAATCACCTGAATTTCTTGATCGGAAGCCCTGTCTTCTTAAAGAAACAAAATAAACAAGACATATTTTTGGATTTTGGTTAGAGGTCAGTAAGATATAAAACATATATGTACAGGATACACAATTAAGGTGTTTGAGGATCCCTTAAGGGCAAACTTAAAGATAGGAGAGAGTAGAAATGAGAGCTAGCCCAAAGGTGTGATCTTTATGCATTGAGACTAAATGATGGAGGATCTTAGGGGCAAAAATTGGGGTATAACAGTTCCATTTAATTACGCTCAACACTAAAATAAAGAATCAATGTTTGTGAAGTATCCAACCACTTCATAAGGTATGGTGCTATGCCTTAGAACTACCATCTTCAAGAAACTTGGTTTTTCCATCTCAACCAAACCAAAACTCTACCACTTGCAATCTTGACCAGTTCGTTACCTCTAAGTTTTCCCTATAAATAGGAGACCCCAGTGCATTTCTAAGGACACGAAAAAGCACTCTCGAAACCCCTCAAACTCATAAATCACTTTAAAGCTCCATTGTTGTGATTTTTGAACCTTAAACACCCAACTCACAATTCACTCGTTCGTTTTTAATTTTTATCATTTACAAAGCTTCTAAAGATCCTTTAGAACTTCCCAACACTTAAAATCCAAACTGTTACTGTGCCATTACCACTCACCAACTCAAAAAACAGAACCTTGCATATTTATTTGGGTGGAGAGTTTCAACACGAATCAAAGCAAAGTAAGGATTGGTATAGCTTTAACGAGGCTCATAGAAGCTTGTGGTATCATTTATTTGTATCTGAAAGTACTGAAGAAAGGCTTTGGACCTTGCTCCAATAGATATTTTTTCGTGTACTTTGAACTCTATTATACATGCACCATTAATGCATACTTTCTGAAGAAAAAATGTAGTTTATGATGTGTTGATATTAGGCCCTAAGTCAATTGGGATTAATCATGTATGTATATGAACTTGTGTGTGACTGGAAATTTTTTTAGGGTTTCTCTGTTTGATTAAAATTGATGATAATTTATTTTGATTGCATTTCTGGATTTCTTGTAAAATTTAGAGCAAATTTGGTCTTTACATCATTAAGTTTTGTTAATATTTGAGAGAGAGTTAAATTTTCACCATTTTTGAAATCTCAAGGTTGAAGATGATGTTGGTCTGCGTGCATTTTTCATTTTTCAAAATCAAGTTTGCTTTATTTTTAACTGAACGCATATTTTTATTAGATGACGATGTAGCACCACTGGTCAGGAGATTTATGTTTGATGCGTAAGGTCTGGGGTTCGAATACCCCTCGCCCCAGATCTTTGGTGTTATTTTTTTTTAAATGCATTCACCAACATGTTTCATATTTCACTAACTGGATGCATAATTATAACACCACAAGCGTGTGGCCTGATGGTTAATATTTTGTTTGACAAACCCAAAAACCTGAGTTCAACTCTTATGGGCAGCATCCCATTATTTTTAAACACTTGTTTTATTCATTTTCTCTTAATTTTTTTCAATAAGGAAATTAACTCCTTTTGAGCTAATTTTTTACACATTATTTATTCACTCCATCTATTTTGTGAATATATAAAAAAATTATTATTTATTTTGATTATTTTTGTATAGTTGAAAATCAAGTTTTTTAGATGTTTCTTGTAAGATTTTTCTTTGATTTCTTTATGGAATGGTCATAACGTTATATGTATTGGATATTTCTTGATAACATGCTTCTTGTGATATTCATACCTTGATCCACTTGACTTTTGTTTAGGTTTTTAGCAAGATTTTGATGCATGATCTTCTCATTTGTATATAAAACCCTAAAATTCCTCATAACCCTCCCCTTTGATTTTGATGCATGTAATTTGTTTGAAGCTTATTTCTTGCTTGTTCAATGAACACTTGATGCATACTTACTTTGAGATTGACCATGTCTTGATCATATACATGTATGTTCTTAACTTGTTGAATAACATGATTTAATCTTCATATGTTTGCCATGCTTGATTTTCTCCTTGGTATTTGTCTACATTTCATAACTTTGCTTGTCTTTGAGGATGTATTTCGTTCATAAACACCTTTTAACCACAAACCATATCATGTTTGATTGATCTTTTCATCAAAGTGTACTTTCATCTTCCATCCTTTTGTCACAATTTTTACTTGATAAGCATGTCGTTTTTTTTCTTTGTTTGAATTCATTCAATTGTTTGTCCGTTGCTTGTGTGATTCACATGCTCCTTTAAGCTCACTTGGTTCATCTTAATCCTTTACTAAGACTTGAATCAATGTAGACATTAGGATTTTAGTCCAGGCATGATAACATTAGGGTAGAAGTTCTCTATTTCAATCCAAACTCTAAGTCCATCATGGCATGACAACATTAGGTTAGATTCCCTTCAATCTCAACCTTAGGTCCACTTTGCATGAAAAAATTAAGATTTTAAGTCTCCTTTTAGACTTCTTTTCTCTCTGCATTACATCTTTTTAAGACTAAAACATTTTCTCAATCAAAAATACAAAAACACTTAATAATGTTCAAAACCCTTTCAAAACTAAAGGTATAAAAGTAATGAGTGTCTCCTTGGATGAGGGTCCAATTATTATCTCTCTCCTTAAAAAACAAAACAAAACCCAAATCATTTTTACCACTTGGCTTTTATCCTTAAAACCTTTTAAAAAAGAACATGTTAACTCAGTTTTGCCGCAAAGAGACTGGCTCTAACTACTAGAATGCAAACTTAACATCGTTCATAAAAAACACACAACAAACCAACATTTTTAAGAAGAACTACGGTGTTCTGATTCCTTTTAGGGATATGTAGGCATGGGGTTGCAAAGCTCAGGCGAACGCACTAATAAAAATCTTTTCTCTTTTCCAATGAATTTATGCATACATTACCCTTTAGCAAGTAAGTTGTAAATATATACACACTCATTGATTAGAATAAAAAGAGTGGATCCCATGGAATACCATGGACTTGAGGGGTGTTAATACCTTCCCCTTATGTAATCGACTCCCTTACCCGAGATTTGGTTGCGAGACCATGTTCTTTTCCCATTTTGAGGTTTTATCTATAGTTTCATTTCCCTATTTCGGGATAAATAAAGTAGGTGGCGACTCTATTTGTTTTAGGAAGCTGTGGGTGTAAGTATTTTTTGCGTAACTTCAATTATTTGTGAAGAAATTGCATTTTCCAGTTTTTAGTTTCGTAAAGTCGAATTTTGTTTCTGATGAAGAATGGGAGTTTGAACATCAAAATTTATGTGGTTTTATTTGAAAATATGTAGAAGATAATGTTTATAATCATATTGTTAATAAAACACGTGCAAAAACTTTGTGGGAGAAGATAGAGTTCTTGTATGCCTCTAAATCAGGGAATAATAAATTATTTTTGTTGAATATCTTCATAAGTTTGAAGTATAAGGAGGGGACTTCTATTACAAATCACTTGAGTGAATTTCAAGGTCTCCTTAATTAGATGTCAGGAAT